TTTTTAAATATGGAGAATCCAGCTGAGAACAGAAGGATAGAGGGAAAAAGAGCACCCTCTCCCATGGTAAATTTTATTTTGTACACATTTTGCTATAACTTAAAAAAATCAATTGACCATGTAGGTATAGTTCTATAATTCCTTTTCTATTCCATTAATACATTTATTTAACCTTATGCCATTACCTCTATCTGATTATTGAAATGAGGTAAACCCTCCAACATTGTTCTTCCCTAAAGATTTTTTTTTTTTTTTGGCTAGTCCAAACCCTCTGCTTTTCCATATAAATATTTTAATCCGTTCATCATTTTCTACAAGAAAACTTTTGGTGGATTTTGTTTAGGATTGCATTGACTCTATAAATGAATTTTAGGAGAGAACTGACATTTAATAACATTGAGTCTCTGTCCTAAGATCTATAAACATTTATTTAAGTCTTCCATAATTTTTCCTAGTAATGTTTCATATTTKTTAGTCAACAGATCAGAAACATACATTGTTAAAATTTCTCAAAGTATTTAACATATTTTGATGCTAACATACGTGGTATTTTAAAATGTTATTTTCCATGGTTTATGGCTAGTATATAAAAATACCATTGATTTTTGTACATTGATTTTGAACCCTGCAATGATCTGAAACTTGCTTTTAAATTTTAGTAGGGTWTTTTGTTTGTTTGTTTGTTTTGTGTTTTGATAGATGTCTTAGAATTTTCTGCATATGTAGACAGATCATATACAAATAAAGACAGTTTTACTTCCTTTACCAATCTGCATAAACGTATATTTTTATTGCTTTGTTGTACTKAATAGTTTCCACTACGATGCTGAATAAATTGGTGAGAAGAAAATCCTTGCCTTTTTCCCAATCTTCGAAGACAATGTTTCAATCATCCTAGATTTGTTACAGGTAATCACAGATGGCAGTTATCATGTAAGGAAATTCCTATTGGTTCCTAATTTGCTGAGATATTAAATAACAATGCTAGTAAGTATATCCATTTCCTGATTTTAATTGAATTATAAGTATTTCACAATTTATAATAATCATTGGTAACTATCTGGGAAGTAAATTTTTTATTAGGCTTTGTATAACTATTTAATTTAGTGTTTTCATTAGGAATTTATTAATTAATTTATTAATGTGATCATTAATTTTCTTATTATGTTGATGAAATGAATTGTCAGTTTTTCTGATGTGGTATCAATGTTGCATTCTTGGCAGATACTGGTGCTTTTCAAGTTATTCTTTTGTTACATTGCTGGATTCCATTTATTAATATTTTCTGTAGAATTTTTGTTCATATATATATATATAAGTGTATTTATCCAGTTTCTTTCTTTTTTCTCTCTCTTCCTTCCTCCCTTTTCATTACTTACTTTTGTTATTAAAGTTGTGTTGAGGTCTGAAAATGAATTAGGGGAACTTTCATCTTTATGATTGGGTGAGACTCTATTTTTAGGTGAATAAAATATGAATTAAATTATTTACCTACTTTTTAGATTTCCTTTTTCATGAAGTAATTCCCTTATTTATACCTATTTATTGTGTGAGCRTGTTTTGTATGTGTGTTGCTAGGAAACGAACCTAGAGCCTCCCACATACTTACAAAGCACTTAATCACTGAGCTATACCCATATATCTGTTTCATATTCATACTGTCATCCAGTTTTAACAGTATTAACATGTTTCCATTCTTTTCTGTCCAACTTTTGTTAATCTTCATGTAACTTTTACAAAAATCAGATACATAAAGATTTTTGTCATTTATAAGGTGTGTTTAATTCAATCACATTAATTATTGATTAGTGATTTAATTAAAATGATTTCTTAAATTTTTTTTAGTGTTCCTGTTTGTTTTTTTTTAATTTCCCTTCAGTTCATTTTTCTTTTGTATTGCCTTCTCTTGGATTGATGATGTTTTCTTACTTCTTCCAGAGCATTATTTTTTAGGAATTGTATAATTTTTTTCTTTTCTCCATTTCTTATTGTTCGGGGGATTTAACTTGGGGCCTTGTCCTCTACTAATGAACTACAATTCCCAGCTCTATTTAKTTTATTTTTGAGATAGGTTCTCAAAATTTACTTAGGCTAGCCTCAAATGTGATCTTCCTGCCTCACCCTCCTGAATAGCTAGGATTACAGATATGTGCCACTATGTTGGGCTTTGTGTATTTATTTCTATTACTTTAATGCACAGCCTTAAATTTTTACATGCATATTTAATATAGGCTAAAGTTAATCAATATAATTATCATGTGGGTTTATAAGTGCCTAGATAGCTTCAACCTAAAATCCCCTTCTATTTTCCATTGTTTTGTTGACTAGTGTTTTGCTTTAAAAAGATATTAAATGTTTTCTCAAGGCTTATTTAGATTAGATTTACTTGCATATTATATAGTTTATATGCTCAATTTTATCTGTTGCATTGAGCATTTTAGTTTTTCAGTCTTAGAAGTCATATTTTCAGTTGTGGAAGATTCTCCATTACTATTCTCCACTTCCTATTCTGATATACACATTAAAATGTCACTCCTTATGCAGGAGGGCTTGTATTTTGTTCTCAGCTCAGGATTCRGTCTCAGAATCCTGAGAGTACCTTAATTATTTCCAACAACCAGGAGATGCCTTTTCTTCCTTTTAAGTTCTGTACACCCATTTGCACCTGTATCAATGTAAAGGTCTGTACATGTTACTAGCCTTATCTCTCTCAGTACTGTCTCCAATTCTTTTCTTCCTTTTTTGAAATTCCTATTTTATGTATGATGACCTGTCTCAACCTATTCTCTATGCCTCAAATTTTCTTTAGGTACTTTCTATCTTTTCAACTTTTAGGTGCTGTATTCTGCATGATTCCCATTTCAAATCACTAATTCTCTACTCTTTTCAACTGTATCCAGTATGCTGTATTGACTTTTGATTTTTAGACACACTCTTTGTCAGCTTAAGACATTTTAATGGATTAGCTTTCAATTTCTGGATTTTGTATAGTTATGACAATGCCTTGTCTATAAATAGCCCAAAGAGAAGTATCAATTATTTGCAGTTAATCTAAGCCAATCAGTAGAGCTTATCAGGCTCCATTTTACTAGCCTTTTGTAAATCCCAACTTCTTATAAGGAAATTAGTTTCAGTTCCGCTTTCTCTTATGGTCCAGAGGTTTCACTTCTTGTTCTGATATACACATTAAAATGTCATTCCTTATGCAGGAGGGCTTGTATTTTGTTCTCAGCTCAGGATTCAGTCTCAGAGCTCTAGCTTTGGGTACCTTAATTATTTCCAACAACCAGGAGATGCCTTTTCTTCCTTTTAAGTTCTGTACACCCGTTTTCTCTGAGAATCCTGCATATTCTTAGTTAGGGAAATAGATTTTTCAATCACTTTTGCCTGAGCTCTATATTTTACTATTTGCAAAGTCATTTTTGCATTTATTTCTGGGTTCTAGGATTTTAAATCTCTTGGGCTATAAAACCAGGACATCCATCCTTTTAAGTTCTATACACCCATTTGCATCTGTATCAATGTAAAGGTCTGTACATGTTTACTAGCCCTTATACAAACAAACGTATTCTTTCTCCAGGCAATTCTATGTGTTCTCAATGACATATTATTTGGATYTGCAACATAGATTCCTCTTTTGAAAGTTCCTCTCTGTTTTCTATCTTAAACTTCTGTATTCAACACTAGTATTCTTTCTTGCTTTTGAACATTGTTATGAGTATAGGCTTAAAAATCAGTGCAATAACATCAATGGGATTTGGGGTAGGAGTACCGAGGGACACACCTGCTTACTCAGCCATCTGTATCTGCTGTTGGGAGTTCATTACCTTTTTATTATCGCCTCTTTCCAGCAAATCATTGCTTTTAGAAAATTAAAATATTAACTTTAAATTTCTAAATATTATCACCCTATTTCAATTTCTAAAATTTTGAATGTATCTCTCCATTGTACTTATATTTTGAATCATTCTCTATTCCAGAGTTTAAAATATTTTTGATCTCACGACTGACTCCTTCTTTCCCTATAATCTTTTTTTTGTTTTTTGTTTTGGTGCTGCGGATTGAACCCAGGCCTCACACTTGCTTGGCAAGTGGCTCTACTACTAAGCTACAGCACCCTTTGTACTCTTAAAAATAGTTGAGAATCCTGCAACACTTTTGTTTTCTGTGTGTTTGATTTATCAGCATATACCATGTTACAAATTTAAAAAGAGAATATTTAAAGACTAATTTTTAAAACTCTGATAAACCTATTATATTGAAGCTAACATTTTTTTAAAGAGAGAGTGAGAGAGGAGAGAGAGAGAGAGAGAGAGAGAGAGAATTTTTAATATTTATTTTTTAGTTCTCGGCAGACACAACATCTTTGTTGGTATGTGGTGCTGAGGATCGAACCCGGCCCACAAGCATGCCAGGGGAGCKCGCTACCGCTGAGCCACATCTCCAGCCCAAAGCTAACATTTTTTTTATGAAAAAATAGTTGTATTTTCCAAAATAAAGAAACATAGCTATTTAATATTTTTGAAATCTCTTTATTATTGATACTAGTAGAAGATAACTGGATGACTATCTCAGCTTTTGCTGTTTAGTATATATTGTTTTGCTGGAAGTATATTAGAAAAAAAAATCCACCTTCACACAGATACATAGTTGGAAAAGGGTAGACCTTAGGGACCCTCTAAAACTGGTCTTATGGTACCCTCTAAGAGTACTCAAAACATACATTATTTACCACTGCTATAAGCAAAGTTTATCACAAAATCACTTTGGAAAATTTCTCATCTGATAGATTTGAAAGATAAGAAGGAAACAATATATTAGCAATATATGATAGATATAAAACATTAAAAAAATCTTTTACCTGGGTTAAATTATTAAATAAATTACTGTTGGGAAAAAGAAGGAACATATGTTAGTAAACAGCATATTTAATATTAATTTGGATGTTCTACTTCCAATACATGTTTCTAAACCTTTGAATATTCTATTTATATGCCATTGCAAATATATAAACAGGCTAAATATAACAAGCCAACAAACAAACAAAAAAAACCCCTACATATATCTATTTGTTTATCAATGTATTAAGTGACCCATTTGTCATTGCATAAGACTAAGGAGCTTTAATCTGTATGTTTTCTTAACARTACTACAAGTTCATGTAATCAAAATTGCATGCTTAATCTTCATTAAAATTTTGATATTTTTGTTTCACATTCATGTTGTAATTTATGTCACTCATCAGTCCTAAAGGAACAATATTCATTTGTATACTTAGTTGTATGCTGTTTAAGAAGTGTTTTTTCACTTAAAAGTYATCTGTGTCTATTTTTATCATATAATCTCTGAAATTCAATATACCTCTTCCATTTTCTGATCATGACACAGTACCAAATATCTTATTATAAATAAAACAAAAATGAAAATATTTTAGAATCAGTAAACTAGTATTCAGTTAGTTTCTTTTTAATTTTTTTTAGTTGTAGATGGACACAATTTATTTATGTATGTATGAGGTGCTGAGGATCAAACACAGTGCCTCACGTGGTAGGCAAGWGCTATGACCCCAGCCCCTGCAGTTAGTTTCTGAGACTGTATAACGATCATAATAGTTCATATATCTAGCCAAATATGSTAGAGAATTACTGAAAATAAGTACTATAAATATTGGCCAGTGTACTGAGCCCAGGACTCAACAAAGTTCAAGGTTGATTAAAAAGATCCCTGGCTCCAGAACTGATATGATCTGCTTTGTGCAATGCTACTTGTCAAAGGTGCAGGAAGAAAGAAGTTGGYTGCTGAATGAATTACCAGTGCATCTGGAAAGGAAAATTTGAAGGCAGAAAGAGAAATATGTAGGTAATAAAAGTAGCTTCGTAACCTTGTAGAGAGGGAGTCAGTATCAGTGGATGATTCACTGAACAATCTTATTCCTMCCGTGAGAGGAAAAACAGCTGCATTCTGCTGTATCTGTATCAGTCTGCTTGGTTTTCTTGAGTTGGTACACAGATCTCAAGTGTAGAGTGAGAGGAAAGCAAAGGAGAGAATCCTGGATTAACCTGACATTTAAGAACAGATGATAAAAAAAACACCAAAGGGTAATGGGAATGGGGGTGGAGACTGGGAAAGAATTAACATAGAAATAAAAATAGTGGTATAGAATGAATGAAGGAATGAAAGAGTTTCAAGAAGAAATGAATGCAATATTAGATGTGGTATAGAAGTTAAACAGTAAGGGGGAAAAAAGTCCTATTAACCTTGGCAATTGACTTCGTTGACTTTGCTAAAGCAATTTAAATAGGTAGGTAGACAGTAGTGAAACAGAGTGATAAAGCTTCACAGTGAAGCTGGGAGCACTGCTTGTAATTCCAGCTGCTTAGGAGGCTGAGGCAGGAGGATCACAATTTCAGCAACTTTTCAGCCTCAGCAACTTAGTGAGACTCTAAGCCACTCATCAAGACCTGGTCTCAAAATTTAAAAAAGGGCTGGGAATGTGGCTCGGTGGTTAAGCACCCCTGGGTTCAATCCCTGGTACCAAACCAAACCAAACAAACAACAAAACAAAAATAAAAACAAACAAACAAAAAACAAAACCCCCCAAAACAAAAAACAAAATAAAACAAAACAACAGCAACAAAAAAAAAACAACAAAAATTTCAGTGAATTTATGAAAGATGACAGACAAGAATGACCCCCTGAATTATTCTCCCTTCCTATTCTGTATTCTAACCCTGAGGTGGAGGTGGGTAAAGAAAGCAAGAAAGTTAAGATGCTAACATGATACTTGTTCCAGGAATTCTGGTTTGTGGGCAAACAGAGTCAGTGGGTTTAGAGAGCCCCCCCCCTCAAAAAGACACAGTGCTCAGAAGGACTCTGTGCTCTGCATTGTTTGTCTTGGAATTTTAGTAAATTCATCTTTAAACTTGTATTTTCTAAATAAGTATGCAGAACAATGGAGCATGAGTTGGGGTTTTGGAGCTTTAGCTCATTCACAGTCCTACCTCCTGCTGCCTCTCTGCCTCTTTGGGACAGCTTCTRTGACACTCATTCCTCCATGCTTTGGCATTTTGGGTCTTGACTGGCCATCCTCTTCTCCCCTCTTGTCCCCCTCCCCAATCTTGCTTTTACTTTTGACTTTGAAAAGGGTCTAGATGTGTGAACTCTGGGCACATCTGGTGTGGGAATGATTAGTACAAGGGATATGTTCTCTGCAGCATCCTGGATTAAGACATGGAAGCAACTGTCCCATTTCTGGCTGGTAGTACCATGTAGTGGCTGATGGAGCCCTCATCATTGCAGGAGTGAGCTTCTTGGGCACCTCCAATTCAGGTATCTAGCATATTTCAGTGCTAATCTTGGGGGCTCCCAATATGTCATATCTGGCTTGATTTTTCAGATGCCACCATTGTTCTGGGCATGATATATGGATCTATGGAGAGGAGAAACTGGTAGGAAGCTGGCAGCTGGTGGGCCATGCCCATGCTGAATCACCGGGTGAGTAAAAGGTCTGCACTGGGCCCATGAGTATTACCATGTCCAAGCAACATGACATTATATTGCAAATAAAAGAAAATCATGACAGGTAATAAAAGTGACTATTGAAGAATAAGATCTACATTTAATACTTTAAACAGTGTTTTCCCCTGTTTTTGGAAAAGATCCTATACTTTCATTTGGCATCAGGATGAAGAGATACAGAAGCGGCAGAATAGTATGGAATGGTGTTTGCTTCTAGGTCATAAAGTTTTAGGAATTAAAAAATTTTAGACACAAATGCATGATATCCACAGTGAAAATTATAAAACGTTGCTGAAAGAAATTGAAGAGGACACAAACACACAAGATATAAAGACATTCCATCTTTATGGGTAGGAAGAATTGATAGTCCAAATGTCCATATTACCCAAAGCAATTTACATAAACAATGCAATTCCCATTAAAATACCAATGGCATTGTTCACAGAAATACAAAAACAATCCTAAAATTCATAGAAAACCCACAAAAGACCCCTAGTATTCAAAGTTATTTTGAGCAAAAAGAAAAAAGCAGATGGCATCACAATRCCTGATCGCAAAATATACCACCAAGGTATGATAACTAAAACATTTTAGTAGTGGTGTAAAAAAAAAATATGACACATAGCTAGTGGCTTGGGAGGCTGAGGCAGGAGGATTCTGAGTTCAAAGCCAGCCTCAGCAAAAGTGAGAAATACCCTTAACAACTTGCCCATAAATTTGATGAAATCCACTAATTCCCTGAAAGACACCATCTGCCAAAACTCACAGAAGAAAGTCATGTGAATAATATATCTACTAAAAATTTTGAATCAACAACTAATTACCTTAAAAAATTTAAACAAAAAAAATTCCAGGTATAAATTAGTTCTCTGGAAAACTGTATCAAACAATGGGAAAATTACACCAATTATCTATAATCTTTTTCAGAAAATAGAAGTAGAGGGAATACTTTCTAAATCATTCTATGAGGCCAATATCATCTTAATACAAAAACCAGGCATTACAAGAAAACTGAAGAGTAGGGGATTTTCATGATGGTGGAATAGAGAAGGTTGCTTTCCTGGTTGCTCCACGGCGTGCAACCAAGAAAGCAGACTGGCAGCTTCTCAGAAAGCTAGGTGAATGGGAAAAAAATGGGGAAGAACTTTACTTGAATTTAATGCTGGAAGCTCAAAGCAGATCAGGGACCTAAGAGATTGGATGAGGAAGACATCCTCAGTGCCACCGCTGCTGCCATGGCTGGAGGTACCAGCCAGAGCGGTCCCTCTGTGAGTAAAGAGGAGAGAAAAGGGAATTAAAGGATTCTGCACTTTTAGGAGGCCTGAGGCATGTCTGGGTATGGAAAGTTTAGAGATCAAGAGTTGCTGCGCAATATCCTTGTCTTCTGAGGGAAAAGAAGCTCCATCTCTACCAGCTACGTGCAGAGGGAAGAGGAAAGAACAGTTTTGCCACTACAGTGCYAGGCCTGGCAGGTGAGGGAGCCAATTCCTGGGAAAACCCTAGTTGGCCTGCAGTACAGGCCTGGAAAATCCACG